ATCTGATACAGCTTTCTGGAAAATAGGTCTCTCTTAATTTAGAGTGCTCAAAGAGTAAGTATGCTTCCTCACCTGCATTATTAATTACCTCTAATCACTGGAGCTGAAAGTATTCATTTAAGAAGAGTTTAATTTTTCTCCACCGATGCCTTTCAACTAAATCTGTTTAGACCTGGGCCCTGAGGCAAGCTGATGGCAACTTTCCAGCTGCTACTCTTGCTCAACTCCCCCTGCAGGTTATTTCTGTCTGGTAGAGGTCATCAGTATTTCTGTACAGGAGCCGGTGAGACCCACTGGCATTGTGGTTAGGGCTGAAGAAACTACTCAAAGTAAGCTTGATGCTCTGAAAGAAACCTGTGAACAATGTTACTGACCCATGTTCCTCCTTGACTTGCTGGACAGCTAAGGCAGGCGCCAGATGCTCAGAAAAGGGTTGAACTGATCTGGTAGGTGACATTAAGAACTGTTCCAAAGGGATGCAGCTGCACTTAACACTAGGGAGGAGCAGCCCAAAACTCCCATTGTGGACAGTTTATTTTTAAGGGGGTCACGTTTGAGCAGTAAAGATGGGTGGCACATCTCTATCAGAGAAACTCAAAAGGCAAGAGAGCAAGTCTAAAACCCCAAATGCCCCAGAACATTCCATTTCCTGGCATCTGAGGTCTGGGGCCCAGGGGGCAGAGCTCCTCCCACTCCTGTGGAGGGGGGCCAGAGAGGAGTTGTGTGTAAGATGGACAGTGGTGCGTTCCTATCAATGCCTCTGAACAGGGGGAAAGCATTTTAGGAGGTTTACATTTTTAGGTGAAAAGGTGCAAACTGGATGGGAGGGCATATGGATGTTTATAGGGGAGGTGGTTTGGGAATACTTTTCTCCTTCCGTCCGCCCATTAAACAGGAGGTAGGTACTGAAATACAGAAGGGATCCTGGAGAACGGTTCTAGAAACTACGGTACAATTCTTTCACAAAAGGGAGAAAGGGGAAAAAAACAAAACACCAAAATTTAGCTATCCCAAAGTGTGCTGTACATCAGAGGGTTAAGAACAGACATGTCTTCATAACCAGCTGATCCCTCGCTCATGTCCTGAGCCTCCTGCAGCAATCTGACTATGAGCTGTCAAAGTCAAGATGCTATTTGAACAGAGAAAGGTTTCCTCCCAGCTGCAGGGATTTTGGCACTCATTCTACAAATGTAAGAAAAATAATAATACTTGAGGGTTGGGGGGAAGACATCAGATTGCTATTCATGAGCAAGAGAAGAAAGGGGATTTGCTATTAAAAATATAAAAAATAACAACAAAAACAACCTGGTGGGTGTTGCCTTTTTCTCTCTGCAGCTCAGACCCCGGCTTCGCTGCAGTGGCAAAACACCGCATATAAAAAAAAACACGGTTCAGTTTGCCACACACACACAGATATATATATATATGACACACACAACCCAGGCTGCTGCAGAACTGCAGAGAGCAGGCACTCTGGAAAACATAGATCATATGATCTTTCTTCCCCCTCCTCCTACTCCTCCTCTTCCCCCTCCCCTCAACACAAGTTGTAAACAACCTTGTAGCTAGAATCAGATTGTAACTCCTCCATTCCCTGACTCCAGCAGTACAACCCAGAAATGTGAGGGATTGGGGCATTAGCAAAGATTTTTTTTTAAAGTGGAAAATATCAAATACGTGAGGAAAAAAAGCAAATTTCTGTCCTATCTTTAGTCCCCTCCATGAAACCTCCAACAGGAATCATGAGATAACAGGTACAGATATTACAAAGAGCAATGTGACATGGTTGGGGAGGGAAATTAAGAGAAATACAACATGGGAAGAGGAAAAGCAATATGTTGGAAGACAAGGACGCAGATAGCTTGTGGTGCTACATGCCACTGCAGGCACACGTATGTTTAGAAACAAGGAACAGAGACCACGAGCAAGATGAAAGCAACTTGCATGCTCAGAACATCTTGATTTTAAGCAACTCAAACTACTGAATTAGCAGTTAAAAAGAAAGAAAAAAAAATCAGTGTTCTTCATATCTAGTATTTGGAGGCTGGGGGGAGGAGAGGGGGTGCTTGGACACGTCATAGTGTCAAGAGAAGGAACCTTGACACCCCTCTTGCCCCCAGGCAGAAGGCTGTGGGTTTTCATTCCCTAAACAGTTTCTGGCTCCCCCAGAGTTCCAAGGTGTAGGGTGAAGAAAGGCAGCTACAAGAACAGGGGCCGCTCTGTCAGAAGAAACATTGCACCATGCCTCAGTCCACCTTCTTGGCAAATGACTGTACAAGAGAAAGCTCTCAATGCCTTTTTGGAAAGGAGAATGGGATAAACATCAGTATTCTGGCCAAACAGGGGATGCTGCCTCATAGACTACATTTCCCAACCCCTAATGGCGATTACATTAGGCTTGGCTACTTAGGAGGCTGAAGTGGACCAAAAACTGACCCACACAAGATTAAACTGTGCACAAGATTAAACTGTGACAGTAGAATTTATAGTCAGGAACCAAGTCACCCTCTCCCACCATCACCAGAGAAGGGAAGCTGCTCATATTCATGCACACCCCATAAGCATAAGGGTTAGGCATGCAGGAACACATTTCAACTGCTTGAACACCAGGTACAATCCATCAGGACCATGCCCTAGCAGACCCCCTTTGCAACTGCAAAGATGAACTAGTAAAAATGGATCCCATTGCTTAGCATCATCCAATGCAACTGCACATGAAATTTAGCCATATCCAAGCACACTGCGCATGTACAGACACGCACAGAGTTACAAACAGAAAAGCAAAGACAGCTCCCTACATGGACTGACAGGAGGCTGTTCTACTAGACTGCTAATTAGCACAGTAGTATTCTAATAGTTATCTAATCCTTTTAAACTCAAAGCATTTTACACATAACTTAGGCACAGAGCAACCACTTTTGTTCAGAGGCAGCTGCATTTTAACAAGGAAGAGAAGCACCAGTAAGCAAGGCACAGCAAGGCTACAAAAACTTTTTTTTCCCCTCAACATGGCAACCAAAGCAAAAGCAGAAAAGGCACTCAAAACAACAGGAGGTTTCAGACAAGGAAATGAAGGTGCGGTGGTAATTTTCGAGACACTAAGATCCCCTGGCTTTTGTTACAACTAGTAAATCTGAAACATTGCCCCTTTTCCTTTTGTGAATTGCAGAGGGGACACAGCAGGCAACATGACAAGACCTTTTACAAAAGACCGTATATAGCCCTGAAAATAAAGTGAGGTTCTTTTAGTGATGATTCCGAAAAGCAAGCACCATTCTATGTTCAGAAGAATCAGGGTTTTCTGTAGAACTCATACTGAACTTGCATGGATTCATATCTAGAAAGTGTCTCAATGGAATATTTCAGCAGTGGCAAAAACCATTCAGAACAGATTGGCACAGGATCCACATCCCTCAGCTGCCAGTCCAGAAATAGGTACAGAGTTTCAGGCTGTGGCCCTGTGTTTTTGTTTACAGTTGTTGAAATGAGGCACAAGATGTTACCCGTTAAGAATGAGATGCTAAGCTGCAGAGATACAGTTAAAGCTATTACCCATTATTAAAGGAAAGACAAGTAAATCACAACTTACTTTGGGGGCCATCCTTTCCACTTCACCAGGTATTCTACTTTACCCTAAGGGTGGAAAAAGGAAGAAGAAAACAGGTGAACTCTGTAACCAAATATGGGCTACAGCAAGAGATACAGCCAATCAACAGCACTAAACTCTGCGACTTGAAAAGCTCATTTCCCATCACTGTATTGTCAAAACAAAGCCACTTCCTCATTAAACTATATCGGCTATAGGTTTTCCCCCAGAAAATGGGCACAAAGCTCAAGCACTCTTAAATAACCCTATACATCAGCTTGGGATCATAGCTCTGCAGGAGCTAGCAGGCAGAACCCCAAAAGCCCACCAGAGAGCCACTGCACCCGTTCCTGCATTTACAGGCAATCCTACAAGAAGTTAGCAGGCATAAATGCGAGAGGGAGATGTATGCCAGGAACAAGTGTCAGAGGCATTTGTTTAAGCAGAGAGAAGAAATACAAGGTTTCAGAACCTATGAAGCATCTCTTTGGCATGTTCTCTTCCAGTTGCTACACGCTTACTCAAATATGGTTTCATCCGTCACAGTCACTCAACCTTTCAACCCAAATAAACAGTAATTCACAGCTGAACTTCACAGTTATCCATTTATTTGTTCACTCTAAGTACAAGCTTAAAAAAAGAAGTAGCAATTGGAAACCATGTTCAAGGGCCCCAGATAAATGTGCACAACTAGGAAAAATTTTAATGTTATACAGAGAGACTTGTTAAACACTTCACAAAGCTTGGAAAAGGCCTGCATGCATACAGGACCACCTCTAGAAGGCCTACTGTTGCAGATGTGAAAATCTTTAAATGACAGCACTGAAATCAAAGCACTCCAGTACATCAGCCAGGCAACCAATTATATTTTCCTGAAGGGGTGTTCAACTTCCAAATATTTGAAGACTCTGCCCTATAAGGAACTTTCTACCAGAGGACCTCTACACACTATGCTTATGGGTTAATCCTCATAACACTCTGTGGAGAGGGATACCATTTTTACAGCTGGAGAAACTGAGTCACTAAACTGACAGCCAAGTCTTTCAAAATCACCTCTTGATGCGGGGTACACAGTTTGTCATCACCAGCACTGATTTTTTGAGAAACTGAAAACCCCAACAACAAAAAACCCCAGGCTGTCCAAACACCCCATCCACAGAGCCCCCCGAAGCACCCACCCACCCACCTCACAAGCGACTACAGCCAACACGAGAGTCCCACACCCGCT